TGATGACTTTTATTTTGTGTCAAATCTTCATGGCTGCTTGGTTCAGAGTTTTGATTCCAGCATCCATCCTGATCTTGGTTCTCAGCTCCAGCAGAACTGTGACACTGTGAACTGTGGCTCCTGTTTGGTTCTGGTTCACAGCTGTCTGTTTCTTCTGGAGGAGAAGTCACCATGAAGGTAACATTTTCCTGCTTCAGAAGGAACTGCCTATCCTGCTGTTGCTTGTTGGTCAGTGGAGGTTCTGGTTCCATCTGGTCCAAACTGGATGACATCTCCAGCTTAGAGAGCTGATGGTCAGTCAGAATCTCCTCCTTTTCCCAGACATGATGCTGAGGAAGTTCTGGACAGAAAAAAGAAAAAAAACATGACAAAAAATAACATTTTTTAAATGTGACGATTAGCGTAAGTTTCATCGTTAACTCGCAATTAATCACAAATTATAAGTGTACCGTATTGTGATATTTTCATGTTTCTAATGTTTTTAGGCAACAGGAGCAGACAAATATACCTCCTTAATGCATATGTACAGTTGATGGGTTTACACACCCTGGTGGATGTTTTTTTTTTTTTTTTTTGGCCTTTTCACAAAAACCTTTTTTCACTCATGTTTTGTGATGTTGTGAAGCGGTTTGTTGTGGAACTAATTTCAAATCACCATAACAAAAGAAAACACCAAAATGGCCCCATCAAAAAGCGTACACACCAAGGACGTAATTTTCACTTTAGAAGTGGGGGGACACGGGGGGGGGTCTTGACAGTATGCTCTGATGGGAAACCGGCTTCAACACAAATGGTTGTTTTCTGCTTGGTCCTAGAACTCAACCAGTGTCAATTTAATATAGCGTAATATTGTTTTTGGATGGTAAAAATTGCAGGGGTCAAAACTTGACTTTAGAAAAAGTGGGGGGGACATGTCCCCCCTGTCCCCCCCCCAAAATTATGTCCATGGTACACACCCCAGTTCCTAATAATGTGTACCTAGTACCCTTCAGCGTCTTCTTTAGGGGCAGAAGTAGCTCAGGAGGTTGAGTGGGTTGTCCAATAATGAGAAGGTTGCAGGTTTGATTCTGGCTCCTGCCAGAACATGCTGCTGTCGTGTCCTTGGGCAAGACACTTAATCTGTCCAGAGTGGTAGTGTCCAACACCTCTCAAAGAAACTGACTGTGTGAAGCGGTTTTTGAAAACAAGCAGCAAGAAGTGGAAGTTGTTTCTTTGGTGAACGTGTCTCGGAAGGCTGGGAGGGCGTGTGCAGCCATCGGCGGTTTTAAATGAAGCAGAAATCTCTCAGCTCCTTTTAACGGCCCAAATTAAACACGGTTACAGTGTTAAAAAGGAGCCTCATCTTTGTCGCGGTGCAGACGCCTGTGGTATTTCACTCCAATAAAATGTTTTTATTTCTGAACATAACTGCCTTTCTCTAATGAGTTTGAGCAGGAAATGGAATGAATCGCTGCTGCACTTGGACACTCTCTGAGGAGGGAACAGCAGCAGAGGTCACATGTTCCATTTATCCAGTCACTTTCATTTTTACAATGATAAATAAACATTTACCACCGTTACATTTTAACTTACCCTTTAATTCATTTTTAGTCCAAACCAGTGACCCAGTAACATTTAAATACAGCCAGGGTCCGAAATTAAATTTTTTACTCACCGGCCAAGTTGGCTGGTAGATGATGAAAATCTACCGGCCAAGCATATTTTTTACCGGCCAAAATTCTAAATGATTTTGATCTACCTAAAGCATGTTATTCTATATTATGTTGATTCCAAACAGAGTGACAAAATAATTAAAACATCAATTAATAAGAAAAACAACTCTTTCATTGAAATCTAGTCAGACTCCTTGTTTTCTCTGTCCATGAAGTCTGGCCTCCTGCTTCTGACACCGTCTTTGTGCCAAAGCATTACAGCCTCATTTGGGTCATAGTCCTTAATCTCTGGAGAACACAGCTGCACCATGAGAATATCTGAAAGTGTGTCAGGGCTAGGGTTGTCACGGTAACCGGTGTAGCGGTAAACCCCGGTAAAAAAGTTGACAATAATAATAACCGTCTTGTTTTTTTTTTTTTAAATTATCTCGGTGGATTACCGTAGGCGCGGTGACCCTTACCAGCCACCGTATCATCTGCTGAAGTTGCCGGCGGCACATGCGCACTTTGTTGTTTACGACCAAAACTTTATTTAAGCTAAAGCTGAAATAATGGCCAGAGACGGCACTCGGGGCATTTATTATCCCTCAAAGAAGACAAAGTCGGAAGTACGGGCATTTTTTTGGGGGGGATATTTGAAGAATGCCGAGGGACAGTTGATAGAAGACGACTATCCTGTTTGCAGCAGGTGCAGAAAAAGTGTCTGTGAAAGGCAGCAATGCTACGTGGCCATCATAATGTAGCCTGTCTCACGACTCCGCCATCTCCAGTTCGCCACTTTTCACAAAATCTTCTGGTTGCCACTGGTCCTGGTGGTTTTTCTTCCAGTTCGACGAGTTTTCTTTTGGAAGGCTGGCTGACTCCAGTTAAAAACCGCCACATTTCACCGCTAGTTTTAACACGAAGCTAACTGCTAACTTGATAAACTGATTGAAAGGGATAGGTGGAAATGATGTTGGATGCGGCGCATACGTTTGTGTACGTTGCATGCAGGCGGGAGGAGTTTCAGAAATCCATGGAAGATGACTGATAAACATAATTAATTTGGAGCAAGCATTTACTCACTATGTGGCAGATAAAGCTCAAAAATTTACTCGCCAAATGGAGCAATTTGCTCGCATTTGGAGAGTGGCGAGTGTTAATTTCGGACCCTGAATACAGTGTTTAAGAGATTTCACTCACATTAGGAACATTTCACCTGCTGCAGCCGAACACACATCCCTGCTGATCCACGTAAACCTGAACTGGTCACCTGTTTGTCCGTCCATTATCAGATGTCTAAGATGTTCTAGACTCTGCCTTGGAACGATTCATGCTTGTTGTATTATTGTTCCAGAGCAGTGAACCTCAACAGCTGAACAGAAATCCTGCTTCATGTGTGTTTTTGCCACATTTCTGTCTCTGACGCTGCTAAAAATCTAATTGTACACACATTCTATCCACCCATTACAAAGTTAAAACCCTGCTGATCAAGGGCGTCAGTTTGTTTTCAGAATTGCTGGGGACAATAACCATACACTTGAGTGGGGTTTAAAATTGCTGGGGACAATAAAGTAGGCTAGCACAGGGGTCGGCGGCTCTGGAGCCGCGTGCGGCTCTTCCATCCATCTGATGCGGCTCTCTGTGCTTGTAAAATAATGAATGGATATTTAAATAAAATGCTTTATATTTTACTGCATTAATTTTACACCTGTATGCCAATTCTAAATGTAAAGATTGTCTGCGTAAACCTGAACAGGTCCAACCCGCTCTTACTGTGAGACCGGGTTGACGCGTCACGCTTGTGCGTAATCATAGGCGCTTCCTGAGCTGGAGGATGTCAGATTCTGGGATTCTCCTCAGACGGCTCCTGGATGTGCCGCCACATTGGAGACAGGAACAAGCGCTATTCAGCCAAAGTTTCATAATCAGGTGTGGCAGTGTGAGCGTCCTGTCACAGTGTCCCGATGGATAATGCGCCCTGGCTACTTGGCCAAGGGGATGTCCCTTTGGCCGACTGGTTAGAGCGTATGACTCTCACCCGGGAGTCTGGGGATCAAATCCCGCCCGGGCCCTCGTTTCTCCACCTTGCCACATATTGACGGATAAACTCAAGGATGTTGGTTGTTTTGAAAGAATTACCCCGACGCACACTGATGCGCATGGATGAGCTGACATTTTAATCGTTACGCACATCGCAGAGGTAACTTGATTCCCATCAGAACATCAGAGCTTTATACTGGACACTGTGTTCAGCGCGGCTCGGAGCGCCGACGGTGGACAGTGGGCTGAAGATCTGCAGAGGGGTTTGCAGCGCAGTGCAGAACCACGGTGCATGCGATAAGATTTCCTCCCACTGAAGCGGTCTGGAAACCCGGTCTCTCTGAGGGATGTGTCACTTGGAAAAATGTTCTTTTTATGAAATTATGAAACTTTGGCTGAACAGCGCTTGTTGCCGTCTCTAATATGGAGACGCATCCAGTCTGAGGCAGAATAGCCTCTTCAGCTCAGAAAGCTCCTGTAGAGACCTTTGATCACACACAAAGTTTATGTGGAGCAGAAGCGGTCGGGCCACGGCAGGTGAAACGTTCCTAGCCTACATGAAGTGAAACTGTTTAATTGTAACATTAATGTTACTGGAAACGCTGGTCTGGCTGGTTAGACCAGTGTTTGAAGTGGAAACACACACACACACACACACACACACACACACACACACACACACACACACACACACACACACCAATTAAAATAATGCTGATAGCGTGGACTAGAAGCCAGGTGATGGTTTTATTTAAATGATGATCAGGCTGCTGTAAAATATAATCTCCATCCACATCCAGACACAATTATCCTCTATTCTAGTTGCTCTGCTCTTGTCTGGGCTGACGTCGCTGATGGTGCGCACGGCGCGCCTAACTAGCGGCTGATGCACATTTTACGCATTTGGAGAGGTGGGCAGGATGCTTTGCTTTTACTGGAAGATGGTCCACTTAACGCACGGGTGTAGACTACATATTAATGACAAATGAATGAAAATTAAACTGGGAGTTTTACTTCATATTTTATAAATAAAAATGATGGGGGAACACATTTATGACGTCTTTTTAAACAAAATTTTCTAGCGCGACCTGCCTGCGTCACTTAAGTCACTGCTTATTAAGGTCCGTCCAAAATTACCGTGGCCCACCCAAAAATGAAAACCTGGCGCTGCGCCTGTTATAAACCTCTGCAAATTGTTGTTCTTCACTTTATCAAACTCAGACTTTGTACTGCTAATGTCAAGATGTAAAATTATGAATTCAGTCGAGCTCTTCCGTCCCTCCCTCTTCTGCTCTCCTGGAAACCCGACATCGGCTGTCAGAAGCGGGAGGTGAAGAAGGAGATGAGGCAAACAGAGTGAGTGCGACATTAAGAAACCAGACTGGTGTGGAGGTGAGCAAAACAGCTGGAAAAGTGTGGGTGTTGAATCCCCCACGGGTGCGACGCCCATGCGAGCGACCGGTACCGGCTGCTGTCACCTGTTGTGAGCAGCGCTCTGCTGTCTGAGGGTAGGCCCCGCCCACAACGCCGCGGCTGCTGCGGTGTTTTCTTTACTGTGGGAAACGGGTAATAATGGCTCTTTGATGGGAACAGGTTGCCGACCCCTGGTAAAAGATCTGAGCTGGTAAAACAAAAATCCTCATCAGCAGGATTTTTTTAAAGTGGGGGGGGACACAGCTGCCAATCACAAATTTTGCCGGGGACATGTCCCCGGTGTCCCCAGTTAAAATGACGCCTATGCTGCTGATTCTAGACATGTTTGTCACAACTCCAAACTTTATTCAGCATCGTCAAGAAGTAAAATCAAACAAAATGAGACCAAAAGTGATCCAATTAAACTTATGGTTACAGAAACAGTTCAAGTGTGCATGGACACTCATTTAAGTGTGTGTGTGTGTGTGTGTGTGTGTGTGTGTGTGTTCTGTCTTCTCGATCCCCAGTGAGTCGTGGAGGATGGCTGCTTATACTGAGCCAGGATCCTCTGTAGGTTTCTTCCTGTTAAAAGGGAGTTTTCCTCTCCACTGTCGCTGCATGCTTGCTTAGTATGAGGATTGCTGTAAAGACTCTGACACTAGTCAGTGACTTGATGCAGCCTGCTGGGTTCCTTATATAGGAAACTTTTTACTGATTGGCTTAATGAACTGACCTGTATTGGAATATTTATTATGTGAAGTGCCTTGAAACGACTCTTGTTGTTATTTGGCGCTTTATAAATAAACTTGAATTGAATGAAATGTTAGCTTGCTAACTTCTGCACACATGTGCAGTGTTAAACCGTACAGTCTGTTATCTTCCTGTTAATATTACCCGTTTAACGCTCAAACACATGACTAATTCATAAATTAATGTTGGCATTAATTTCATATACCTTCATCAGTTACTGGAGGCCACTGTGTAACATAATCAGTCTCTGTATTCGTCATGCTGTCACAGACAGTAAGTTTACAATGACAGCATAATGAATGAATCATTGACGAGTGGCTCTGCAGCAAGATGGTGATCCCCACAAATTACTTTATCGGTCTACAAACATTTTAAACACGAATAAAAACTGTTCATTCATTTTCTGTCAGTGTTGCGTTTCAGGAGTTATGTAACTAAAACAAGCTGTTTCAAAAAGTCCCTTTTTAGCATAACATAGGACCCCCCTTCCTCACCTGTGGACCCTGGAGCAGCAGCTCTGATCTCGGCCTCAGGAAGCAGTGACAAAAGGAGCTGGTGTCTGTCTGGTTCTGGTCCATGGTGGTCTCTGTCCTCATCAGCAGGAGTCACAAGGGAGGTCACCGTCTCCTGCTTCAGTACAAGCTGCTCTTCATCCTGACTCATGCAGAGCTCCTCTTGTTCTAGAACCTGTAAAGGTTCTGACTCATCCTGCTCCACTTTCATCTGTGGAGGTTCTGGTCCCTCCTGTAAAGGTTCTGGTTGTTCCTGGTCCAAACTGGAGGTCGTCTCCTGGTTCCAGAGCTGCTGGTCAGTCAGAACCTCCTCATCTTTCCTGACATCATGCAGTGGGAGTTCTGGACAGACAGACCAAACAAAAAGATGAATCATGTGACAATAAGAGAGCACACTTCACTTTAATCATCTGATGCATCTGAAGATGTTTTAGAACATAATGAACTCTTAACCTGACAAACAACCACACACAGTTCTACAGTCAGACATGAGAACAGCAGGTGTGTGTGTGTGTGTGTGTGTGTGTGTGTGTGTGTGTGTGTGTGTGTGTGTGTGTGTGTGTGTGTGTGTGTGTGTCTGACTGACCCACAGCAGAACTGGACTCAGTATCTATCAGATTCATTGATTTAGATTCTTACTGACTTCTGGGATGGACACACAGGTACTACAGGTGAGTTTATAGACATATAAACATCCAGATGTTCCTCAGATGCATCAGTCTCTGATGAAAACGGGACTGAGATGTTTTCATGGAATCATCTCCACTTTGAAGCTGCTGACAGCTTTACTTGGTAATGTCCACAAACAGATCAGACTAACAGAAACTTCTAAACAAGTCTCTGATTGTAGAACATCAGCTGGAAACGTTCACCAAGTCTTTAAAGTTTGTCTCTTTTAAACGGATTTAGTGGAGTTACTGAAAATGAAAAAACTTCCTAAAACCCCTGAAATGTTATTGATTTATTTCTCTAAAGTGGAACAAAGTTTACCGACTGATTTCAGCTCAGTTGTGTCAAAAAGCTTCAGAACAGCAAACGGACCCAAGCAGACTGTCCTGAGATTGTGTCCTCAGTAAAACCTCACGAGTCCCGCTGCTGTTTCATACCTATTCTGTGTAAGTTGATCTGTGGTTTCCAGCTGATCTCCAGCAGTCTGCGCTGACGATCGATCTCTTCCTCGTAGCGGACGATGGTTTGTTCAAACTCGGAGAATATTTCTGCTGCAGCAGCAGTTAGCCGCTCTCTGATAAACTCTCTCAGAGACTGAGCTGAAGACATTGTTGCTGCAGAGCCTCAGAGGTTCACCTCACACACCCACACAACAAGCTAACGCTGCTAACGAGCAACAAGCTAACGCTGCTAACAACTTCCGGGTAATGTGTCGGCTGTTGACCAGCGTAAAAGTACACCACCGCCACCTGCTGGACTGGAGTCGGAACAGCACGAACAGCAACAATAAGAGATGAAGGTGTGGACCACAGCTTCAGTTCAAAAGGTGACAGAATGAAACTAAAATAGTGGAGAAAAAGTAGGAACATAGAGGAAACTGATCCATCTGTGTTTCTGGAAATCAACATCGAAATTATCTGGAGGAACAAATGATGCAACCCCTCTTGGTTTCTTAGTTTGCTAACTTATAAAGAGTGTAAGCTTTCATCTGCTTTCATTGGAATTGAAAAAGACTGAACATCATAGACGTTTCTAGCCAATTTTGGGGCATGCTGAAGCACCCCTCACCTCACTTTCCTTCGCTTATCTGGGGTCCCGGTCACAGGGGCAGCATCCCAAGTACGACCTCTTAGGCAATCCTCTCCCTGGCCAACCTACAGATGTATTTCCTCCAGGTAACCCTGAGTCGACCCGGGGCCCTCCTGCCGGCAGGACATGCCCAAAACACCTCCCGAGAGAAGCGTCCAGGAGGCATCCGAACCACCTCAACTGGATCCTTTGATACGGAGGTGCAGCGGCTCCACTCCGGGTCCCTCCCGGATCTTCGTCCAGCAGTAAGGGGGGAGCTGCTTTCAACAGTGAGCTCTCTCCCTTGCTGGGTCTGTATTTTGGTGCCTTGACGTGGCATTTGTGTTGGGTTATAACAACCGTAAGCTAAGCTGTTAGTGACCTGATGTTAAGCTGGGAGCTGCTCTGACCAGTGAGCTGTCTCTCCCTTACTGGGTTTGTGTTTTTCCTTGCCTCCGAGTTTGGCAAATCCACAAAACACATGTGGATTGGTTGGGCAAACTCCCATGACCCCGCCATCACCCTAGTGTGACAAGGTGAGTGTCACTGTATCTTGATTGATCGTGCGCACTGGCTACTTGGCCAAGGGGATCTCCCTTTGGCTGACTGCTTAGCGCGTATGACTGTCACCCGGGAGTCTGGGGATCGAATCCCACTCGGGCCCTCGTTACTCCACCTTGTCACACTAGCAAGGGTAAAGACCTGGTCCACAGTTCCACAACCAGGACGAAAACCACATTGCTCCTCCACAATCCGGGATTCAACTATTGAGTGGTTGAGCCAGGTAGAGGTGCGGCTGCCTCACCTGGAGACCAGTGCAGAGCAGCCACATAGTAATTTGTTGACAACATCACGATTTTCAGCTTAGCCATCAGCCACAGCTGATTCTAAATAAATGTGGAGCAGAGTTTTAACCTGAAGATGGAGACATAATTACGGTTTCGGACTGAGATATCAACTTTAAAGTAAGTGGCACTAAACTGCCACACCAATGATTACACGTGTCTACAGCACTATTAGACAGGATATACAGGTTATCAGCAAAAAAAAGTTCATTTAGGCGTTACTTGCTCTTTAACATCCTCATTTGTGCACCAATCCCCCCCCCCCCCCCCGCACAGATCACACATGGAGTCCCCACCTTAACCCAACACACACACACACACACACACACACACACACACACACACACACACACACACACACACACACACACACACGCGCGCGCACACACACACTGCTGCTTGCGTTAACTAGATCTTTATTTATATTTAGAAAAAATTAACTTTAATTTCTGTTTAAAATGCATTAAGCAACTCAAAGTACCTTAAAACACTTGAAACAGGAGGATAACGTCAGCACAGTAAAAATTTCTATCATCAAATTTCTATTTAAATTTCAGTATTTTGATCATTCTTGGAAGATTACAAAAACTGCTTTTGACAAAAGGATAAACAGTGAGTCCACAGTTGTAAAACATACCTTTTAGGCTAGGGACACACAATATATGGGCATTAATATCGGTATCGGCCAATATTAGTCATTTTTTAACATATCTGTATCGGTCTGATAAATAAAACTGGGCAGATATTAACAACCAATATTTTCCCGTCTTGTTTATTTATTTGTTCATCTGTTTCAGAGGGTGAGGGGGTGATGTGTAATTGTTTAGTCATCTGAAAGTTATTTTAATATTCTCAGAGGCGTAAAAGTGTCTGTACATAACATAAATTCAGCTTTAATCATTTTTATTATGTACAAAATCTGCTGATTTTAGAAACATTAATGGCAGTATATCAGTATCAGTGAATATTGGTCATTGGCCATAACAGTGATATTAATATCGGATATTGGTAGCGGCCATCACTATTTTAGGCTATTTCCTTACTTTGTCAGCGCTCGTTAGAAAACATTTTAGCATCTGTGTCAAACTGGTCTAGTAAACTCTTAAGGCATTAAGGATTAAATGTCGTCATGATCTATTTTCTTATCTGTGCATTCTCGTGTTTTGAGGCCGAATACCTATGTGAGGAAACATTTTAACAAACACATTTTAGGAACAAAATATCTATGAATAATATACAATTACAGTATATAGAATATATATTAGTGTGAATTCTCACATGACAAGTTGAAGTGACGTGTGTATTTTCTCTGGGAATAGGGGTAGCAGACACCTGATCATTACAAACAAGCAGTATTCTTATGTTTGAGGAACACCTTAATAACGGATGGCCTTTAGGGTCAAAATTCCCTAAGAGCGCAATTTCTGAAAGAGTACTTCATCAGATCGTTCAACGTCCAGCAAATTGACAAGAACATCCGACTCCCTTTCATCACTGCCAACGGCGAAGCGGTAAAAGTGTGTAACAGTGTTTATAAATGGTCGCTTGTTATAAATCAGTAAATGAGTTTTGTCCTCACGACCTCATGTAGAAAAAAAACATCTAAACTAGCGTTGTCCAGCAACCAAAGACCTGCTCCCATGTATTTTAGACCAGATTTTTATGGTTATAGACCCATTGAAAGTTATTGTTTACATCCGGGTAACTGCGCACACCCACACAAGCTAGAGGACAAGAACCCTGTCTCTAGGCATTATCCAGAGCTGTCTCTGCATTTTAGGCTGACAAAATGAAACCTAGGGATTTAAATATTACTACTTTAGATTATCTAACACATCTTTCTGCAGAAGAACAAAAAACGAAACATAATAAAGCTAACAGTGTTTAGAATAAAGCTTCCAGATCAATTTGAATTAGCTAGCGAGCTGTGGGGACGGCAGTCCTTCACAGAACCAGCTGCCTGTACTTCTCACAGCTGAACAGATGAAGATGTAACCAGGTCTCTTCTAAATGTTGCTGGTTTGTCTTTGGAGATTAATGGATGCTCTGTTTAATCTGATGAGCAACGTAAACAGAAACAGGAAGCGAAGGACATTGGACGCTGCCCGCTCCAACTACACAACACGTTTTGTGTATTTATTATAACAAGACAGTTACTGCGGGTCAAACTAAACTACACACCTGTGTTGTCATTTTCATACACGTTTATGTCTCAGAACTGATCACCAGAACAGTTCTCCCCGCTGCTGGATCCAAGTCAGTGATTTTCTCCTGGCTCCTCATCCCCCAGCCATGCATACATGTATTAAAAAAGCATGTAAGTCATTAGATGGCTATAACTTGCTTGTGTCTGCACATGTGGAGCAGATATTTTATTTTTTATTCAACGATGAAACTTTGTCTGCCATAATATGGGTGGTTACCCACTAGAACTGGCTGTTAACCACTGCCTTTGGCATATTTTATCAGATGGAAACCTGTAAAATGTAATGTTTCCTGTCTTTTGTTTGTTTACTTGAGCAGCCTACAGATCTGCGTAAGTAAGTAAATTTTATTTATATAGCACTCACCACAGACATAGAATCACAAAGTGCTTCACATAGATCAAAACAAAAAACAACAAAGTCATAAAATCATAATGATCTCATAACAGAATCAAATCAAATCAGATACTTTATTAATCCCAGAGGGAAATTAGATCAGATTAACATCAGAAAAAATAAAGTCATAAAATTATAAAATTTCAATAACAGACGAAAGAGTAAAAATAAAAAGATAAAAGGTTTAGGTAAAAGCAGCTTTAAATAAAAGTGTCTTTAGCTGTTCTTTTAAAAGTGTCCAGACTGTCAACGCTGCGTGAGGATAAAGGAAGATCATTCCAGAGTCGGGGTGCAACAGTCTGGAAGGAGTGATCACCTCGACTTTTGTATCTGGTCTTTGGAACTTCTAGAAGGTTCTGGTGGGTGGACCTGAGGGCTCGGGTTGGAGCACAAGGCTTTAACAATTCAGTAATATAGGGAGGAGCTTGACCATGTAGAGCATTGAAAGTTATAGTCAGGATTCTAAAATGAACTCTAAAGCTAACGGGTAACCAGTGCAGAGACATTAGCATAGGAGTGATGTGTGCTCTTCTGTTTGCTCCAGTTAGGAGCCTCGCTGCAGAGTTCTGGACCAACTGAAGGCAGTGAAGGGATTTTTTGTTAAAACATGTGGAAAGTGTGTTACAGTAATCTAGACGGGAGGAGATAAAGGCATGGAGAACCATTTCAAGTTCATGTTTTGATATCAACCTTCGCAGTTTGGAGATATTTTTTAAATGATAAAAACAGTTTCGGGCCAACGTTTTTGAGTGACCTTCAAGAGCCATTGATTGGTCAAAAATAACACCCAAATTCTTTAAGTTTGTCTTGACGGTAGAGGATAAATGACCAAGTTTTAGACTAATCAGGGGAACCATGCTCTCAGGGGCAATGATCAGTCTTTTCAGAGTTTAACTGAAGGAAGTTATCTTCTAGCCAGCGGGTGATAGCTGACAGACACTCTAGTAATTCAGACAGTTTGTAGTACTCAGAATCCTTAAAGGAGTGTGTGTTAACCATGTTGATGGATTTTATTTAATCACTATTTAGCTCTGTTTATTGTCAACTAACAGATAAACACAACAGTGGTCAATGGAGAGGTGTCGGATTCTGGGGCTGGGGGGTGGGGGAGTGGGCACGCAACGTTATGTTTCAAGGGGTCTATAAGTTACAAACCAATATTTTTCAACAACTGGGCATCATTTCATTATTTTTTAACTACATTATTTTTCCAGAGAACAATGGTAAAAACTACACAGTCACTTTAAAGAAAATATTTGTCTGAATCTCGCTCTACAGATCAAACATGGAAAAGACTTCTCACCTGTGGTGAGCTTTCATGTGTTTAGTCAAGCTACCACTTTGGGAGAAACATTTACCACAAATTTTACATGGATATGGTTTCTCACCTGTGTGAGTTCTCATGTGGCTAGTCAAGGCACCACTGTCAGAAAATGTTTTACCACAGGCTTCACAAGTAAATGACTTTTTACCTGTGTGCGTTCTCATGTGTGTAATCGAGGAACTTCTCTGAGAGAAACATTTCCCACAAATTTCACATGGATGTGGTTTCTCACCTGTGTGCGTTCTCATGTGTTTAGTCAAGTTACCACTGTGAGAAAAACATTTACCACAAGCTTCACATCTAAATGGCTTTTCACCTGTATGAGTTCTTGTGTGACTAGTCAATTGACCTGTCTGAGAAAAACATTTACCACAAGTTTCACATGGATATGGTTTCTCACCTGTGTGAGTTCTCATGTGTTCCGTCAAGCTACCTCTTTCAAAGAAACATTTAGCACAAGTTTCACATCTAAATGGTTTTACACCTGTGTGAATTCTCATGTGTCTAGTCAAGGTACCACCATCAGTAAAACATTTACCACAAGTTTTACATCTAAATGGCTTTTCACCTGTATGAGTTCTTTTGTGACTAGTCAATTGACCTGTCCGAGAGAAACATTTACCACAAGTTTCACATCTAAATGGTTTCTCACCTGTGTGAGTTCTCATGTGTTTAATCAAGGAGCCTCGGTCAGAAAAGCATTTACCACAAGTTTCACATGTAAATGGTTTTTCACCTGTGTGTATTCTCATGTGAACTGGTAAAACCCCCTTACAGCTGAAAAATTTCCCACAGAGTTCACATGAAAAAGGGCTTTCCTCTCCGTAAGCCTTTTGCTGTTTTTCTAGTTTCTGACTGTCTATACTCTCTCTGTGATCTCTGGTTTGATGATGTCTTTTATTTTGTGTCAGTTCTTCATTGCTGTTTGATTCTAAATTTTCATTCTGGCATCCATCCTGATCTTGGTTCTCAGCTTCAGCGGAACTCTGACGCAAGGGTCGGTTCTGATTTGGTTCTTGTTTACATGTTTCTGCAGAAGGAGAAGTCACCATGAAGGTAACATTTTCCTGCTTCAGAATGAACTGATCTTCATGCTGATGGATACAGAGTTCCTGCTGTTCCTCTTTGATCGGTGGAGGTTCTGGTTCCTTCTGGTCCAAACTGAGGGTGGTGTCCTGGTTAAAGATCTGCTGGTCAGTCAGAACTTCCTCTTTTCCCCAGTCATGATGCTGTGGAAGATCTGGACAGGCTAAAAAAAAACAAAAGAAAACATAGATTAATGCAACAATTATGACCAACATTCAACAAAATCTTTCAACTGTGATTAATGGTACGACTTCCACAATTAACTCACGATAAATCACAAATTCATAACAAATTATAAATGTACCATAGCATAATTATTATTTCACGTGTTTTTGAGTTTTCAAACAATTTGTAGTGAGATTAACAGATTGTATTGTTTTTTTTATTCATTTGTATGAGTTGTATCATGAATCAGTCAGACTGGATACGTCTGGAGCGTAATAGATTCAGCTACAATGCACCGCCTCATATCAAAACTGTAGTAGAAACGCTTCAGGTTGTTTTGAATCCCAATGGACAAGGAGACGGAAATGAAAGGGAAAGAGGGGAGAGGAAGGAAAGTGGTGGGGGGTAAAAGTTCATAAAAATAAGCAATAAAAAATAAGGACACACCAAAAACTCGGCCACCGAAATTTTTCAGCCGAAAACTGAAAATGCACTTTTGGATCAATTTCATCCTAAAATTTTCGGTGGCCGAAACACCAAAATGACCAGAACAAAATAGCCAAAACAGGCCGTCAGGTGAACCCCGTTTTCGGTTCATCTCGCTGTGACCTCATGTGTCATGTTCTGAGGGTTGAGGTGGCAGACCATGTGTGGTGGTGGGTTCCAGGAGGCAGAAGAGCAGGCAGACGGATGTAAAAAATAAAAGATGTTTATTGTAGGACGGGAGCAACAGGACGAACGAACATGGACAACGACAATGAACCGACAAAGACAACAACCAGGAGGGAGGTATAAATACACAAGGGAATCAGGAACACATGGGCAGAGTAATCAGGGACAGGTGAGAACAATTAGGCAAATCAGGGCAGGAGAGACACAGTCAGGGAGGCTGGGGCGGATCATGACAGTACCCCCCCCCCCCCCCCCCTCAAGGGGCGGATACCAGACGCCCACAAGCCACAAAACACAGGAGACACGAACGAAGACCAGACCAGGGCACACATGACAAGGGAACACAGAAGACGAGACCAGGGAACAAGGAACACCGTCCAGGGCTGCGGAGCAGGGGCCTCTTGGTTCAGGCGGCACTCCGTCTTATGACCAATCAGACGTGTCCAAGAACTTAGACCAGGGAAACTCGGACTCGTAGACTTGACTTGGGCACAGGGACTCGTAGACTTGACTTGGGCACAGGGACTCGTAGACTTGACTTGGGCACAGGGACTCGTAGACTTGACTTGGGCACAGGGACTCGAACACTTGACTTGGACACAGGGACTCGAACACTTGACTTGGGCACAGGGACTCGGAACACTTGACTTGGAAATAGGGACTCGAAAACTTGACTTGGACACAGGGACTCGAACACTTGACTTGGACACAGGGACTCGAACACTTGACTTGGACACAGGGGCACGTAGACTTGGACTTGGGCACGTAGACTTGGACTTGGGCACGTAGACTTGGACACGATGACTTGACTTGGCTTGACACGTAGACTTGGCTTGACACGTAGACTTGACTTGGCTTGACAAGTAGACTTGACTCCAGGAACACAGGATACCAGGAACACAGAGACGAACTGCAGCAGCAGGCGTGGGACCCAGCAGGAACTGCAGCCGCAGGCATAGGCCCCAGCAGGAACTGCTGCGTGGAGGACCTGCAGGCACAGAACCCGCAGGCGTGGACCAGGAAGTGGTTGAGTAGCGGGAGCGACGCGTGGAAGCCCAGCTCGGCGGCAGGTACTCGACATCTCAATCAGAGCAGGTGCACATCCGATCTGCTGGGTCCATCGGCGGAGGCTCGGGTGATGGGAAGCCGGAGAAGAGCGGGGAGACCAGCCCTACCACACCGGAGAATAATGGCGTGCGTAGGTGGTGTAGCTCCCTTGAGGCTCCAGGATCCACCGGAGAAGAGCAGGGAGACCAGCCCTACCACACCGGAGAATAATGGCGTGCGTAGGGGGTGTTATTCCCTTGAGGCTCCAGGATCCGCGGCTTCAGGAGAAGAACGGGACGGGGCAAAAACAGCTGGAGGAGAATGACCCTGGCCACCCTGAAGATAAATAGGATGCGCCAGGATCTCCCAGAGGAACTTCGACCACCCCGAGAACAGGTAGGATGCGCCAAACACACAAACTCCAGGCCAGAAATCTCCCACAACTGAAAGGGACAAAAAAAGAAAAATAATCCCCCAGGAACAGATGTGTTAGCTCACCACAGGTCCAGGTTTGGTCGGTTCATTCTGTCATGTTCTGCGGGTGGAGGTGGCAGACCATGTGTGGTGGTGGGTTCCAGGAGGCAGAAGAGCAGGCAGACGGATGTAAAAAATAAAAGATGTTTATTGTAGGACGGGAGCAACAGGACGAACGAACATGGACAACGACAATGAACCGACAAAGACAACAACCAGGAGGGAGGTATAAATACACAAGGGAATCAGGAACACATGGGCAGAGTAATCAGGGACAGGTGAGAACAATTAGGCAAATCAGGGCAGGAGAGACACAGTCAGGGAGGCTGGGGCGGATCATGACATCATGTAGCAACTTGTTTCATTAAATGTGTACACAGTGATTTTCAAAGTAAAGTTTTCCTCGTTTAAATGAGTCGTCAAGCCTGCCTCAGAGTCCTTCTCTATTCACACATCAATTTAGAAAAATGCAACATTAGTAGGCGTTGCCTGACGGACCGAGAGGGGGCGGAGCTGCGGCAGTGACGAAGACGGATGGGTAACGAGGCGAAGCTAGCTTTTTTCACTCTGAGCAGTCATTAGATATGGAGGACGTTTCTCCCCCTCCTTACCCAGACAATCAATAGGAAAGGGACCAAGTCTATTTGGAGGAGACAAGCACACTAAAGTTACATATATATATATATATATATATATATATATATATATATATATATTAGGGGTAGGCCGTTATCGGCGTTAACGTGCTGCGGCAAAGCCAGACTCTTATCGCGCGATAAAAAAAATGACGTCGTTAATCTATTCTCAAAGTTGGGTTGGGCTCTGGGTCTATACTAAGTAAGCTATGATGACTTTCACATTGCGCGGATGGATACCTGGTTGGCGCGGATGTATACTCGGCGCGGATCATCGTACGTATGGACGGACGCCAGGCTCGCGGAGTTTAATGTTCCCCATGCAGCCGAACAGTTGCACTTTCGCACTTTCGCCACCAGCAGTGCTTCTCCCTTCTCATGGCGTGGGACAAGTAAATAATTTATGTACTTTCACCTGAGTTTAATCCATAAATCCGACTTTCATTCTTTTTATTTTGTTTTGTTTACCTCCGACATTTCCAGCCGGGCTTTCCCTGGGCCACACTTCACCGTCCGCGGCCGAAGCAGCGCTCGGATGTGAGAAAACCGAGACAAGACTTTCTCAGACAGGTGCGGTTTCCAACTAAGTTTAGCTCTTTTAGCAGCTGTTTATTGTGATAAAGTGATAAATTGTTTCTACAGGTCGTTGTTCATGTGGCTTCGACTCAAATTCACCTGTAATAATAAACGTTTTACTCATAAATTTTTATATTTGTTTAGAAAAGTTGAGCTAGGATGACTCCCCTTGCCGTTTTCAGAGACAACAACAGCAACAGTTGGCTTCTGCTCATACAGGTGAGCTGTGGCATCATTTCCAGCTCTCGCTCCTATTCACCAGAGGCGATCCTACATGCAAACTAAAGGGGGGCATTGGAAGGGCACCCCAGAAATTTAACCCCCTCCCCAGGCCAGATAGTTTGTGTGTGTGTATGTATGTATGTCTGTATGTGTGTGTGTGTGTGTGTGTATATATATCTATATACTTTTTTCTTTAGCAGGCCATATTGTGCAGAAGAGAAGATCTAGTTTGTCACCAGACAATGTGAACAAGCTAGTCTGCTTGAGTGACTGGTGGAAGAAGGAGAAATAGAGCTTGGACTGATTGACCAAATGCTACTGACTGTAAATAGTTAATCATGACCTATTCTGTAGACCTACAGTGCAGAATTTGTTGAACTGAATATACAGCTATTAAACACAAATACTTATTGATCATTATTTATTTTCATCATCAGTTATCGTAGTAAAACTGCTTTATCAGTCTGTGATGCATTATTGAAACAAGAAATGCGCCTCCATTCTCAAAGACTTGCTTTTATTCATTATCTAGGTAGCACACACACACATGCCTTTGGCAGAATTTGAATGAGCCATTTTAATCTAGACTAATTCCAAGATTACAGTGAGATTAATCTAGATTAAAAAAATTAATCTATGCCCACCACTAACATATATATATATATATATATATATATATATATATATATATATATATATATATATATATATATATATATGTGTGTGTGTGTGTGTGTGTGTCCTGATGACCTTGTTGCTGAATGACTTGTCACTCTCACATGATTCTGGAGACCACTTGTGGAGAAATTGTCTACCACACTCAGGGCAGGCAAAGGATTTGTTGACAGTCTTTTTTTTTTATCGTGTCCTGTCTGGCTGTGAAGCAAACAGAATTGATGTCTGAATGCTGGTGGCAAGCCTTACAGATTTACTCTCAGGTGGAGCATCAAAGTGTCTGCTTTTAATGTCACGCCTGATACTTAAAACTTCATTGTAGGGCTGCAACAAACGATTATTTGGATAATCGATTAATCGGATGGGGTCTCGACACGATTAATCGATTAATCGGATTACATGGGGAAATTTTTAAAAACTGCTAGGGAAACGTTATTTCTCTCCTTCCTTCACTTTATTTAACACAACATTATTAGAAAACAGTTCAATAGCAGAAAAACAACATGCCATCACCTAAATTGTCTTATAAGGTGCATAGACAGAGACCCTAAGCTACATCTATCTGTGACCTAAAATGCTTGGTCCAAGTTAAACAGCTTAAGGGCAATTCTCATCTGTTTTGTTTGATCTCATCTGTTGACATTTATTTTAAATGTAATTAAACATAGGCTGTGAATTAATCAAAATTGATCACTAT